TTGGAAGATCCAATTTGCTTCATTCCATCCCTGCCCCCAGAGGCAGGCTGATCTAATTGTGGGAGAGGTTTCCCATCTCAATGACTCAGAACTTCTTTTAAATACAGTCACTTCCCTTCCTTCTCAGGCACTTTTCAAGCTGGGAAGAAAGCACACTCAGAGATGTGCACCCCTTCTCTTACATTCCACAGAAGTTCATTACTTGGCTTGACTCCCCAGTTAGGAATGTGGGACCCTTTTCCTCAGGCATTATTAGTTAAAACCACTAAATCTGGGAACACTTTTGCCAGTTTTCATCAGTAAGGAATGGTTGAGATTTAGAACCTGGATACTGTAGACCTGGGTCTAAAATTCAACTCCATCAACTACCAGTTATCTATTGGAGCAAATCTTCAGCCATTTTAGGTCTCTGTTCCTTGTTTGTAAAACAGGAATGAAAATCATCTTTAAATAACATTATTATGATATTATGTTATTATGAATTTTGCAGATGATGAACACAAAGTTTCTGATATTTTAAAGGTGCTCAGTAATTGAGTTTTTGTTTTGGCTGTTACTATTGCTACTTATAAGAGCTATCATTGGTACTTCTAAGCACAGACAATATTTTTTGTTGTTCAGATTCATTGTCTGAAAAAATAAATTTTTTTATCATTAGTTGTTCAAAACATTACATAGCTCTTGACATATCATATTTCATAATTTGATTCAAGTGGGTTATGAACTCCCATTTTTCCCCCGTATACGGATTGCAGAATCACATCGGTTACACATCCACGTTTTTACATACTGCCATACTAGTGTCTGTTGTATTCTGCTGCCTTTCCTATCCTCTACTATCCTCCCTCCCCTCCCCTCCCCTCCCATCTTCTCTCTCTACCCCATCCACTGTACTTCATTTCTCTCCCTTGTTTTTTTTCCCACTTATTCGAGTAGCAGGAAAAAAATGCAGAGTTTATGATCAATCAGTTCTGAATCCCAACTCAGTCTTGACACATAACAGTTCCTTGACTCTGCCATTGACTCAACCCCTCTGAGACTCTGTTTCCTGGTTAATATAATGAGAATAACATCTACTCTGTACAATTACTGCAAAATAGAGGTAATGCAAACAGAGATACCTGGGGCAGAGTAAGCCCTCATTATGTGGTTGCTACTGATACTATTAGTTCTTCTATTCCCATTAAGTAGCACATACACATATATCCTCAGAACCATCTGATTCCACAGGATGCCCCTCACAAAAATCTCAATCATCCCAGGCAGTTTTATGTTCCTAATAATGATAGGATGTAAGAGTTTAGCAAATTCACAAGAATAATTTCACCTATGATATTTAAAGAGATTCAAGCAATCCTAAAAATATTTAAAGTTATTAACGCTCTTGGCAAATCTAAAAGTGTGACTTTGGGTCCCACGACAGCAAGCCCAGAACTGATGACTTCACAAGCCCAGGGAGGAAGAAGGCTCAGCGATGCCTCCTCATCCCAGGGCTTGATCCTCCACAGGGCCCTCTCCTGGGGCAGCATGTTATGGATACAGAAATCAGACGATGCCAGGGCAAGTCCCTTCCCACGTAGGAGGGGGTGTGGTAAAGCTGACCTCGTCCTTGTGTTTCAAAGTTTAGCCACTTTAGTGTTAGCACTGAAAGGATGCAGGTGTGGACTGCAGCACAATCCAACCGCGCCAGACAGGGTTGTGCTCATACACACACAGACATGCTCATACCTACACACACAAGTAAATTTTTGATAAATAGATTGCATTAAGATTGTAGAGATAGTTACACAAAATCTATTATATCTTGGTGTTCTGAAATGAAATCCCTATAAACTCTGCAAACAAACATCTGGTAGGATGATGTCAATCACTATAAAAAAAATGAACAGGATAAAAGACTAAACTGAATGATAATCGGGCCCATGAACTCCCCTGCCACTTGGATGCTCTATAGCTGGGGGTGGGGAAGGAAGGAAAGCTCCTGAACTTTCCTTATAGTGACCATAGTTTTTACTCCTCTTTGTGCTATCCAAGTTTTGAAATAAAACTTTGTGAGAGGGTAGAAGCAATTAATGATTGAATACCTGCTTTGTTCTACATCTGACAGTAAATGAAATTACTCAATAATAAAAAGAGCATGTAACATTGGTTAGGCAAATTATATTCTATTATGTAAACCACTCAAATACTCTGAAAAAATTTATAACATATATAAAACTTTAATTTTCATTTTTCCTCCAGTTAGTGACTCATGTTGCTGTCCTCTAAGGAAGATGCAAAATAACAACAGGCGTTTTTTTTCAGTGCAAAGCACACTTGCACAGGGAGCCTGTTCATAAAAGAGCCATGTGAACTGTTTGCTTGATATTTAGGAAATTTATCCCTTGGGGTAGAGGTATTTCCACTGAGAACTGTTAAACCCAGCCAAGAAGTGATTAATAGACTTCATTATTTTGTCATTATTAATTATGAAATAACTATCTCATAATAGCTAGAATTTTTAAGAGCAAGAAATAATTAAGAGACTTAATGGACCACGCACTGCTGAAGGATGTAGTCTGATGTGCTGCTTTAACCCTGAACTTATTTTTCTTAGTGCATCTAACTGCTGGTTTGCATCAGGACAGCACTGCTTTTCCATGAGTGATATCAGGAGAAAGAATTTCTAAAAGGAACTCACTAATACACACCAAAGTCACACTTATGTAAATAAATAATTATATTTAAGAGAAATTCAGTTTTCATTATGTATTTTGAGTGGGCTTGGAACAACAACCAGAATCACAATAATAGCCATTAGATGTCATTTGCTGAGTGTCAAATTCCAGGCACTGAGATACACTATTAAATAACACTGGAAGAGTGTGTATTAAAAACATCCTACCACACCTTCAGTTTCCTCTTTTATTTCTAAATCACTGCACAGCGATTCCTTTGTTTCAAGTTCTAGGGGACTCCGAAGGGCCCCGTCTCATAGCATCTTCAATCCCTTACTTTACAAAAACATAGGCACATGCATAGAACCCTCTCACCATCATGAGATAGATGGCCAAGCTTGTTAGCCATCCAGGTGGACACTTAGGCCCATGGTGTCATGAGAACTACCCGTCTTCCAGTAGTTTATATATTTGTTAGGGAGACAGAATATCAATTTATTGAACCTTAGAGGCAATTTTGAGACACTGTTCCAGGTCTCATCTCATTTTAAATACCTCCTCTAAAATATTCCCTTGAAATGCCATCTAGCCTCTTACAGCCATGTTCCATTAGTGCACAGGATCACACTGACTACTTATTTGCCTTGAATTTGAATCAATCTAGTTATAAGTCAGACTAATCCTAATTTAGTCATGAGATAATATAGGATAATTGGAAAATTTCTTCCACTGGATGGCCTTATTCACTCAGTTAGGACTGTTGTTTTGCCATGAGGGAATCCTCTTCTCAGGCTTGCAAAAGACAAAGGAGCCAGAGATCTGAAAAGTCAGTATGTAGATCTGGCCCCTGGCAAAAATTAATCCAGTAAAGCACACAACATGGAGGACCTGCCTTGTTTCTCTTTCTTCACTCTTCTTTCTATTGTACTGCTTTTAACTCTCATCTCCACACAGCAGCACACTGGTGGCTCCATATTCTCTTCTCTGACAAATAAAAGGTAGCTGATGGAATTTCAGACCTTACATTCAGAGAAGAAAGGCTGTCTCCTGCTGTCCCAATAGAAATAGAAATCAAATTTCCATTTCCAGAATATAAGCAAATATGTGAAAGGTTGCTGGACCCAGTTATCAAGTCACTGTAACTGTGGACTAAGACAGTATGTGTGCCTCAGTAACTTAAGGACAATTCCTGGAGCCAGAGTTGGGTTCATTCTCATCCAAACTAATGACTGGGTATGGGGAAGGAGTAAACTACTACAAGAAAATTAGGATGCTACTGATAAAATAAATTCTAGGGAATCAACAGGTAAGTATATACTATATTAATTTCAATACATTTGACTATATTTTATCATGGATCCTTAAAATTCCCATTTTCTGGCTGAATATCCCCACAAATAAAAATAAACATAAATTAGAAAGAAAAAAATCACAACTAGATCAATAATAAAGATCTTTAGTTCTATGGGAGTCAGGAGGAAGGAGAGAGCACAATGAGATAATGTAGACACCAAAGTCTTCCAGGAGTAGGTGGAACTTGAACTGGGCAGGAAAGTTTGATGTTCAGGCAGTGTTGATATCTGAAATATTCAGAGGTCTAGTCCAATTAGGATGAATACATTTTAACACCTAAACTCAGAAAAACATGCATTTATTTTAAAACAAGAAAACAGCAAATTATCTTGTCAGTATGGTTCCAGGCAATTCACTGATGAGGATTTGGGGAAGGCATCTAGTCAAACTCTTCTTCCCTTGGCTGGGATGAAATGGAAGATGTGGGTTTGGACAGTGGGGAGGGATGGTACCCCATTTCCCCTTGAAGGATCCTAATGCTCATGAGCATATCAAAGGCTCTAGAAGACCCACCATGGGACTTATAACCTACATGAGGCAGGAAGAGTACCTACTTTTGTTTTCTACTGCCTGGCTCCCACCTGCAGAGGGACTTCACTCTAATAGACATCTAAAAGTGAATAAATGAATGAGTGAATGGAAAGGCCTAGATAAATTCTGAAGTTAAAAAAAAATGCTAACATTTTTTAGGAAACACTTATTAATATACCACAGAACTAGTGCTCTATCAAATTGTAAATAAAAACTGGTTGTATTGCCATGAGGGAACCCACTATACAGTCTGGCAAAATACAAAGTAGCATGTATCCAGTCAAGTTCAGTGACCTGGATCAAATTCTGCTTCCAATTTACTGTTAAACTTATAACATGTTCTTACATTCCTCTAAATCTGATTTAGTTCATTTTCAAAATTAGCATTAGAATTATACTTTTCATATCTTAAAAAAAAATGCTTCCTGTTCTTACCATCTCTCTCCATTTCCCTTTCAGCTGAAGAAAAATAAATTCCTTGAGGCAGATAAAGTGACTGGAGTTATCCATAGACCCGCCAGAAAAAGATACAAGATGCTCTGTAAGTCCTCACTTTATATTTTCTTTTCTTTTGCTTGCAAGAGCAAAGGACTTGCATTTGTTTCTGACCAGTGCTGCTTGGGTCAGGCTCTAAATTTCCCTGAAACGTCCGTCCTAGTCTTCCCTGACCCACACCCCGACCTGTGGTAGGGGGAATTGAACCCAGGGGCATTTTGCCACTGAGCTACATCCCCAGCTCTTTCCTTTTAAAATTTATTCCAAGACATTGCCTCTCTTGGTTGCTGAGTCTGTCCTTGAACTTGCATCCTCCTGCCTGAGCTTCTTGAGTCAGGGGGGATTATGGGCATGTGCCGCTGTGCAGTCTAGCATCTCAGTCTAGTGTCTAATTCAAGTTTCTGGTACTTGTCTTGTAGTTTCCTTTTTAGTTTGGAATCCTTAGAACCATATGCTACATGTATTCACTGGAGGACCCTCCCTGACCTGTGTGGGAGGTCACATTCACTCTCAGACTCCCAGCACCATTTCCCCTCTACAAACTCAACAGGAGGCTTTTAACCTGTTTGTGTTATGACTTTCTTTAAAAATATGATAAAGCAGTGGACTCTGCAACCAAAACACATTTAAATGCTCAGGCACAAATTATTTTATAGTTCATTTCTGGGGATCATGACCCCCTGATGCTCACACATGGACACACATGCTGACGCATGGACTCCCGATTAGGAACATCTGGCCAGGAATACCTCTAACTAGTCTTTCCATGAAGACAATCTGTAACTTTGTATCAAAAAGTATACTTTTGTATAGATAAAATGTTTAAAAGAAATCCCCCAGGTACTAATCCATACTCTCCAAAAATAATATTATCAAAATATATATTTATTTCATCAATCTAGTCCAGTACTAGTTCATGAGATTTTCTGACAAGGGAGAGATTTCTCATGTACTTTCCAAATTAAAAGTGAATATTCGAAGATGGCGGCGAGGGGAGTGCATTACCCCCGTGTGCTGCTTCACTGTGTGGGAGTATGACAAGTCAGGACGGCTAAAAGATATCTTGTTAGGAATTTCCAGCAATAGTGGGGTGCGCCGGAACCTGGAGGAAGGATTTCCATCGCATGAGGATCGGCTACGGGGACTCAAACGCGAGAGGTTTGTCGCACGGAGGGTAACACTGCTTATTCAGCAAATCGCCCCGCGGCTAGAGTCTGCAAGGCGCGCTGGGATAGAGACGCAGGGTTACAGCGCTGCAGTTTCTGCCAGACGCGCAAGCACCGCACTCAGGGCTGAATTCTGGGTTCGAGACGGGGAAGGAAGCGGTCCATCTCGGTTCTCCACACCGGTCAGACCACAGAGGAGGCCAGCAGCCACCATGTTGGTAAACTGACGTCACCACACCTGTTTTTGACTGACCGCAGCTCATTCAGCCATAGAACAGGTAATTTCAGGCTGCAATTCGCCTGCGGCTTGCAGACAGATTGCTAGGGTTCAGCGCCTGGGGGCTTCTTAAAATCTGATCTTATCGGAGTGAACACGGAGCGCGGGGCGGCCGAGTCCCGGCTCCCGGAACCGTCCCGGAACCGCCCTGGCTCCGGGCTGCGGAGCCTGCGGAGGCTGCTTCTTGGACCCTGCTAATATCAGAGCAAACACGAAACACCAAGAAGCCGAATTCCAGCTCCCGGAACTGAGCCCGCGGGGACTGCTTCTTGGAGCTTACACTTATAGGAGCTTACACCGAGCACAGAGCGGCCGAGTTCCGGCTCCCGGAACCGTCCCGGAACCGCCCTGGCTCAGGGCTGCGGAGCCCGCGGAGGCTGCTTCTTGGACCCTGCTACTATCAGAGCATACACCAAACACTAAGCGGCCGAATTCCGGCTCCCGGAACTGAGCCCGCGGGGGCTGCTTCTTGGAGCCTACACTTATAGGAGCTTACACCGAGCACGGAGCGGCCGAGTTCCGGCTCCCGGAACTTCCCTGGACCGGGGCTAGGAGCCCGCGGAAACTGCGTCTCGGTCCGGGTCCTGCTGAGGGCAGGTCAGGACTCACCCATTGCTTGGGTTGCCTGGCAAGGGGAACGAAATGCTGCCATTCGCATAGGATACCAACATGGCAGAGATCTGATGTCAGCAGAAAGCGGTGGAGGAGAGATCTTCATCAATACCAGCGGTGACATAAGCAGTTGGTCTCCTGGTAAGGGGGGTGAGGCTCAGTCACCCGAGTCTCCTCAATTTGTCCTCGAGCCAGAGGGAAGGAGCCGGGCCGCCGCCAGCGCCCGGAGCAGGCCCAGCAGCTCGCCAGCGTGGTGACCGCGTGACCCCAATTGGAGAGGGGGCGGAGCGGAGCCGCCACCCACACCCGCCAGGTGGGCAGACCCACGACCCAGTAGTACATGGGCGTGGTAGGAGGGGCAGGGCAGAGCCGCCCTTCGCGCTTGCAAGGTAAACAGACCTGTGACAGCCTGGCGGGTCAGGCCCAGTGGCCTGCCAGTGTGGTACACACGTCACCCCAACTCGAGTAGGGGCAGAGCAGATCCTTATCCCACGCCCGGATCAGGCCCTGCCGGTGTGGTGGTCACGTGACCCCAATTGGAGTGGGGGTGGAGCGGAACCGCCACCCGTGCCCGCAGGGTGAGCAGACCAGTGATCAACCTGCAGATCAGGCCCAGGGGTCCGCAGGCGTGGTAGGAGGGGCAGGGCAGATCCGCCGCCCGCGCCTTCAAGGTAGGCAGACCTACAACAGACGGGCGGATCAGGCCCAGGAGCCTGCCGGCGGGGTACAAACACCACCCTAATTGGAGTAGTGACAGAGCAGAGTCGCCTCCCTTGCCAGGAACAGACCCAGCATCCTGCAGGCGGGGTAGTCACGACACCCCAATTGGAGTAGGGGCAAAGCAGAGCCTCCACTCGTGCCCGAAAGGTGGGCAGATCTGCGACCGACCAGCAGGACAGGCCCAGTGGCCTGCTGGTACGACAGACACGTCACCCCAATTGGAGTAGGGGCAGAACAGAGCCGCCACCAGCTCCCAGAACAGGCCCAGTGACCTGCCGGCGTGGTAGCCACGACACCCCAATTGGAATAAGGAGAGAGCAGAGCCGCCGCCCGCACCTGCAGGAAAGATACGCAAGCAGTATGAAAAGACAAGGAAAGAAAGGACCACAAGCAATGCAGGTCAACGCAACTTTAGAAGAGGTAACAGCTGCAGCAGATGGAATGTCAGATAAAGAATTCAGGATATACATGCTTCAGATGATCTAGAGTATCAAGGAAGACATTAAACAGCAAAATCAGACAATGAAAGATCACTTCGACAACGAATTATGCAAACAAATCCAGGAAGCAAAGGATCAACTATACAGGGAGATAGAGGTTATAAAAAACAAGCAATCAGAAATCCTAGAAATGCAGGAAGCAATAAACCAACTTAAAAACTCAATGGAGAATACTACCAACAGAGTAGAACACTTAGAAGATAGAACATCAGACAATGAAGACAAAGTATTTCAACTGGAAAAGAACATAGACAGCTCAGCAAGACTGTTAAGAAACCATGAGCAGAACATCCAAGAAATATGGGATAACATTAAGAGACCAAACTTAAGAGTCATTGGGATACAAGAAGGTACAGAGCTCCAAACCAAAGGAATGAGCAGTCTATTCCATGAAATAATACAAGAAAACTTCCCAGACTTGAAGAATGAGACAGAATCCCAAATCCTAGAAGCCTACAGGACGCCGAATGTGCAAAATCATAAGAGATCCACACCTAGACACATTATAATGAAGATGCCCAACATACAGAATAAGGAGAGAATTTTAAAAGCTACAAGAGAAAGGAAGCAGATTACATTTAGGGGCAAGCCAATCAGGATAACAGCTGATCTTTCAACACAGACTCTGAAAGCTAGAAGATCCTGGAATAATATATTTCAAACACTGAAAGATAATGGGTTCCAACCAAGAATTGTGTATCCAGCGAAATTAAGCTTCAGGATGGAGAATGAAATTAAAACCTTCCACGATAAACAAAAGTTTAAAGAATTCGCAGCTAGAAAACCATCTCTTCAAAACATCCTAGCCAAAGTATTACAGGAAGAGGAAATGGAAAATAACAATGAAAACCAACAGTGGGAGGTAGGACAGTAAAGGGGGGGGGGAAACAATCAAAGAGGAAAACAAACAATGTTTAGTAACAGAAATAAACAAATATGGCTGGAAGAACAACCCATATCTCAATAATAACCCTAAATGTTAATGGCTTAAACTCACCAATTAAGAGACACAGGCTAGTAGAATGGATCACAAAACAAGACCCAACAATATGCTGCCTACAGGAGACGCATTTGATAGGAAAAGACATACATAGGCTGAAGGTGAAAGGTTGGGAAAAATCATATCACTCATATGGACTTCGGAAACAAGCAGGCGTGTCCATACTCATATCAAATAAAATAGATTTCAAGCCAAAGTTAATCAAAAGAGATAAAGAGGGACACTACATACTGCTTAAGGGAACCATACACCAACAAGACATAACAATCATAAATATTTATGCCCCAAACAATGGTGCAGCTATGTTCGTCAAACAAACTCTTCTCAAGTTCAAGAGTCTAATAGACCACCACACCATAATCATGGGAGACTTCAACACACCTCTCTCGCCACTGGACAGATCTTCCAAACAAAAGTTGAATAAGGAAACTATAGAACTCAATAACACTATTAATAACCTAGACCTAATTGACATATATAGAGTATACCACCCAACATCAAGCAGTTACACTTTTTTCTCAGCAGCACATGGATCCTTCTCAAAAATAGATCATATATTATGTCACAGGGCAACTCTTAGACAATATAAAGGAGTAGAGATATTACCATGCATCTTATCTGATCATAATGGAATGAAACTGAAAATCAACGATAAAAGAAGGAAGGAAAAAGCATACATCAATTGGAGAATGAACAATAGGTTACTGAATGATCAATGGGTTATAGAAGACATCAAGGAGGAAATTAAAAAATTCTTAGAGATAAATGAAAACACAGACACAACATATCGGAATCTATGGGACACATTGAAAGCAGTTCTAAGAGGAAAATTCATTGCTTGGAGTTCATTCCTTAAAAAAAGAAAAAACCAACAAATAAATGATCTCATACTTCATCTCAAAATCCTTGAAAAAGAAGAGCAAAACAACAGCAAAAGAAGTAGAAGGCAAGAAATAATTAAAATCAGAGCTGAAATTAATGAAATCGAAAAAAAGAAACAATTGAAAAAATTGACAAAACTAAAAGTTGGTTCTTTGAAAAAATAAACAAAATCGACATACCCTTAGCGATGCTAGTGAAGAGAAGAAGAGAGAGAACTCAAATTACTAGCATACGGGATGAAAAAGGCAATATCACAACAGACACTTCAGAAATACAGAAGATAATCAAAAACTATTTTGAATCCTTATACTCCAATAAATTAGAAGATAGTGAAGGCATAGATAAATTTCTTAAGTCATATGATCTGCCCAGATTGAGTCAGGAGGATATAGAAAACCTAAACAGACCAATATCAATTGAGGAGATAGAAGAAACCATCAAAAGACTACCAACTAAGAAAAGCCCAGGTCCCGATGGGTATACAGCAGAATTTTACAAAACCTTTAAAGAAGAACTAATACCAATACTTTTCAAGCTACTTCAGGAAATAGAAAAGGAGGGAGAACTTCCAAATTCATTCTATGAGGCCAACATCACCCTGATACCTAAACCAGACAAAGACACTTCAAAGAAAGAAAACTACAGACCAATATCTCTAATGAACCTAGATGCAAAAATCCTCAATAAAATTCTGGCGAATCGGATACAAAAACATATAAAAAAAAAATTGTACACCATGATCAAGTAGGATTCATCCCTGGGATGCAAGGCTGGTTCAATATACGGAAATCAATAAATGTTATTCACCACATCAATAGACTTAAAAATAAGAACCATATGATCATCTCGATAGATGCGGAAAAAGCATTTGACAAAGTACAGCATCCCTTTATGTTCAAAACTCTAGAAAAACTAGGGATAACAGGAACATACCTCAATATTGTAAAAGCAATCTATGCTAAGCCTCAGGCTAGCATTATTCTGAATGGAGAAAAACTGAAGGCATTCCCTCTAAAATCTGGAACAAGACAGGGATGCCCTCTCTCTCCACTTCTCTTCAACATAGTTCTCGAAACACTGGCCAGAGCAATTAGACAGACGAAAGAAATTAAAGGCATAAAAATAGGAAAAGAAGAAATTAAATTATCACTATTTGCAGATGATATGATTCTATATCTAGCAGACCCAAAAGGCTCTACAAAGAAACTATTAGAGCTAATAAATGAATTCAGCAAAGTGGCAGGATTTAAAATCAACACGCATAAATCAAAGGCATTCCTGTATATCAGCGACAAATCCTCTGAAATGGAAATGAGGACAACCACTCCATTCAAAATATCTTCAAAAAAAATAAAATACTTGGGAATCAACCTAACAAAAGAGGTGAAAGACTTATACAATGAAAACTACAGAACCCTAAAGAGAGAAATAGAAGAAGATCTTAGAAGATGGAAAAATATACCCTGTTCATGGATAGGCAGAACTAACATCATCAAAATGGCGATATTACCAAAAGTTCTCTATAGGTTTAATGCAATGCCAATCAAAATCCCAATGGCATTTCTTGTAGAAATAGAGAAAGCAATCATGAAATTCATATGGAAAAATAAAAGACCCAGAATAGCAAAAACAATGCTAAGCAAGAAGTGTGAATCAGGCGGTGTAGCGATACCAGACTTCAAACTATACTACAGAGCAATAGTAACAAAAACAGCATGGTACTGGTACCAAAACAGGCGTGTGGACCAATGGTACAGAATAGAGGACACAGAAACCAATCCACAAAACTACAACTATCTTATATTTGATAAAGGGGCTAAAAGCATGCAATGGAGGAAGGATAGCATCTTCAACAAATGGTGCTGGGAAAACTGGAAATCCATATGCAACAAAATGAAACTGAATCCCTTTCTCTCGCCATGCACAAAAGTGAATTCAAAATGGATCAAGGAACTTGATATCAAATCAGAGACGCGCCGTCTGATAGAAGAAAAAGTTGGCTACGATCTACAGTCGGTGGGGTCGGGCTCCAAATTCCTCAATAGGACACCCATAGCACAAAAGTTAATAACTAGAATCAACAAATGGGACTTACTCAAACTAAAAGTTTTTTCTCAGCAAAAGAAACAATAAGAGAGGTAAATAGGGAGCCTACATCCTGGGAACAAATCTTTACTCCTCACACTTCAGATAGAGCCCTAATATCCAGAGTATACAAAGAACTCAAAAAATTAGACAATAAGAGAACAAACAACCCAATCAACAAATGGGCCAAGGACCTGAACAGACACTTCACAGAGGAGGACATACAGTCAATCAACAAGTACATGAAAAAATGCTCAACATCTCTAGCTGTCAGAGAAATGCAAATCAAAACCACCCTAAGATACCATCTCACTCCAGTAAGATTGGCAGCCATTAGGAAGTCAAACAACAACAAGTGCTGGAGAGGATGTGGGGAAAAGGGTACACTTGTACATTGCTGGTGGGACTGCAGATTGGTGCAGCCAATTTGGAAAGCAGTATGGAGATTTCTTGGAAAGCTGGGAATGGAGCCACCATTTGACCCAGCTATTCCCCTTCTTGGTCTATTCCCTAAAGACCTAAAAAGAGCATGCTACAGGGACACTGCTACATCGATGTTCATAGCAGCACAGTTCACAATAGCAAGACTGTGGAACCAACCTAGATGCCCTTCAATAGACGAATGGATAAAAAAAATGTGGCATTTATACACAATGGAGTATTACTCTGCATTAAAAAATGACAAAATCATAGAATTTACAGGGAAATGGATGGCATTAGAGCAGATTATGCTAAGTGAAGCTAGCCAATCCCTAAAAAACAAATGCCAAATGTCTTCTTTGATATAAGGAAAGTAACTAAGAACAGAGTAGGGACGAAGAACAGGAGAAGAAGATTAACATTTAACAGGGATGAGAGGTGGGAGGGAAAGGGAGAGAGAAGGTAAATTGCACGGTAATGGAAGGAGACCCTCAGGGTTATACAGTGGAGGGGGTAGAGAGAGAGGAGGGGAGGGGAGGGGAGAGGTGGGGAGGGGGGAGGGTGGATGATGGGAAAGGCAGCGGAGCACAACAGACACTAGTATGGCAATTTGTAAATCAATGGATGTGTAACTGATGTGAATCTGCAATCTGTGTATGGGGTGAAGGTGGGAGTTCATAACCCACTAGAATCAAAGTGTGGAATATGATATGTCAAGAAATTTGTAATGTTTTGAACAACCCACAATAAAAAATTAAAAAAAAAAAAAAAAAAAAAAGTGAATATTCAAAAGAAATGAATCCTCAAGGTAAATATGCATACAGAACACATGTGGTAATGTGCCATTTGACTAAAAAAATCCCCGCAAAGTCATTGATGTTGGTCTTTTGATGCTCATAATTATTTTATTGGGGATGTTTTAGCTCCTATTGGTACATGACTTTTGCTGGCAACAAATCTAACCTTCATTTTTTTTTCTCTCCTCTTTGATCATAATCTACTCACAAAAAGACTTGTATCACAATAAAAGTCACAGTAACAAAATATAACATAATGTCTTTTCTCTAAGAGAGCTTCAATTTCTGCTGGAATTAAAAGTTTAGGTAAGAGAAGTTACAGTCAGAATCGAGCAGACTGAGAACTCCTTGGGGGGTAAACTCAGGAGTTTCCATATCCCTGAAACCACAGCACAGGCAGATGACTTACTCGGAGTGGGTTTCATTCCAGCAGGAAATACATGTGCTATCCACTCTGACAACTTCAAAAGTGCTCACAAGTACAGAGCACTGTAATATCAGTGCCATGTGCCATCACTCAGCTCCAGAAATTACCAACTCCTCACTAGTGTTGTTTTATCTGTACTCTTTCCCCCGCCCATTAGATTATTTAGGGATAAATCTGAAGTAGCATGTCACAGCAAAGGAACATCTTCCAATCACCATAAGATTAAAAATACATATCTATCTTTATGGAGTTTAAATGCTCAGAAGAAAAACTACAGCAGTGCTAATCAATGTTTTGAGCACCAAAAATTAGAAATTGGAAGGAATTCTGTGCTCTAGCAATAAAATGTTTAAAAAATAAAATATTAAAAAATGTTTAATATAATAGACACATCCCTCTCAATCAAAAGATACATATAAAGTGATATTATGCTTGGAGTTATTTTTTCTTTCTCTTTCCCCACTCACTGAATTTTATATGATCAAATTTAGAGAAACTTTTATTTCTAGAGTAACAAGATGAATGCACATAAACATTTAATAGTTTGTTATTAACAGTTTTAGAGAACTCCAACTGCTTGATCCCAACCATTTATTTATATGTTTACATGACTCTAGCGAACTTGATTTTCCACAATAGATTACTTTCAAAAGTTTAAAATAATTCAGATCTATGCTAAATATTCTAAAGAAAACGTTTTGTGAAATCTTGTATGTAGAAAACTGTTCTTACATTCTACACACTGAGCTCTTACATTTGAATTTTCCATGAAGGGCTCCATGGGATCTAGCTTGCTTGTAAGGATTGTGGGTTAACCCAGGTGGAGAGAAAAGCTGCTAGAAGGAATGGATGACTTAGTGAGCAGCCTGTACCTATCCTTGTCTGCACTGACTTTTCCTCTAGCATTTATCCTCTGTTTCAGTTGTCTTGTTCTTAGCATTTGCCATCTGTTGGGCCCCAATCCACATTCATCGCCTCTTCTTCAGCTTCGTGGAGGAGTGGACCAAGTCCCTGGCTGCTGTGTTCAACCTCCTCCATGTGGTGTCAGGTAAACTTTAGCTGTTTTGCCTGTGTGATAAGAGCCTGGACAACTGCAGCTTTTCCTACAGCTTGCTCGCCTGCTAGAGTAGAGCAAACTATCATGGGGATCTTTCCTCCTGGAGTGAAGACAACTTGGTTTCAATTTTAGGCACAGATTGACTAGACATGTTGCTGGTCCAAAGAAACAGCCGTCTGATTTCAAGGCTGCCTCATGAAATACCTGAAGTGTGAGGATTGCAGCAGGAAAACAGTCCGGGGTGCTTTCTTTGGTTTCCCCTCCAAGGGCCATGGGATCGGATTTGTTCTTATTTAGTGAACACCATGTCCCTGTCATCTCCTATGGCCTCATGAAAGCAGCCAAAAGGTGTTCATGGGCATCAAGATCTGCTTGTAGGTGACTGTAACTCTCCTTGTCCAGGATACTACCATCAGAAGATGGAAGAAATATTGGTGGAAAGTCACCAAGTCAGAGCACCTGGCTTGGTACCCCAATTCCACTTCAATGCTCTGAGTGAGCTGAGCCTCTGGCTGCCTTCATGCCAGAGTTTCCTTGGCTGTAAAATGAAAATAGCGTCTGCTCTAGACACCAGGCTCTGATGATAGGCAGTCAGTCAGTGAGTGTTACAGAGGTTTTAGCCTATAAATGCCACTTGTATTTCTATAATCACAAGTTGTTAAGTAGATATTATCGTAAACCATTTTATAGTAAAAATAAATCCAGATCTGCTAATCTAGGACAGAAGAGGCTGGTCACCTGCGGAATTTTTAGGAAGCAGGATTATTAGCTGCAGAGGTCCAGAGGAAGTTAATGCCTAAAAAAATCTCTGGATCCCAAATCTGGAAATTCTTTTAGATTTATAGTTAGTGGGATGATTACATGTAGTGGGAGGGGTCATACTCTTTGTCCCATATTCCTATGTCAGACAGAGGTTTTACAAGTTTATTTTTTCCCCCTGCAAATCTAGCCTTTATAAACAAGAGGGAAATTCAAACCACCATGCCCTCTGCCAAAATTTTTGCTGATATCTTGTTGATACCCTTTGTAAAAAATCTTTCTGACAAGAAGAGAAACTCATATGTTACAAACATGGTGGGGGCTTCTGTGTAATTATGGTAAGGGTCTTCTAAGTGGGGGTCCCTGGTCTGCTTTACTACTAGAAGAAGTGACTGCCCAAGGCACTCAGCTGGTAAATATTAGACCCAGGACTCACCCCCAAATAACTGAACTTTAAGCTCAGGTTTCTGTCTATTAAAGACAGAGAATTGCAACCAACGACCTTCTTTCTCATCACCCACTCATCTCAAGGTCAGGATGAAGCCCAGCCACACCCACCAAATGGATGAATCCTTGTCATTGTGTTTACCCCATTATGTAAACTGCTATAGCAGGACTTAATAGCTCATGGTTTGCTCTTAACAGAAATTGTGCCATAAATTATTGAATTTAGCCATGGATTTCATCTGAATGATACTATCTGAAGTTGTTAAGACAATTCACTTGTGCCTTGAAGTTCCTGGCACTTAGTAAGGGTTCAGTTAGTATTTATTTCATGAATGAACAAACAGTCAATAGTAACATCTCCTTTTGTATTCCTCCCTGCCCACCTGTACACATGGCATGTGGCACTCTGACTGCTGTGGATCATGTTAGCAAAGGTAACAAGGAGTGTGCTGACCACTGTACCTCTGAGTTGCTTTATAATCTCAGCCCCCCATGGATGGTATCATGACACAGCTGCTCACAATAGTGAGGGAAAATGAGCTAGGCTGAAATTTTTCTTCATTTTATAACTAGGAGAAAATTGAAGTGCCGGTGCTTCTCTAAATTTTTATTCCCCATTTCACAGTTTGGAAGAAACTGAAATGCCAGTGTGTTTCAGTTTCAGTTTCTTGCTTTGACAGATATGACAGATACGAGGTCCTAAGATTCCCATTCTTACACTCATTAAACCTAGGAGACATAACACAGGACATGGTAATAAGGAAGAGTATAAGAAACAGGAAAATGGTTATGTGAAAAGTGCAAATGGACAAAATAAATGATAAACACAATGATTTAATAAGGTGGAAGAGCCATCAAGGAAAGGTAGGGAGGGAGAAGACATTGAGAGAACCATTCTTTAAAGAGCTTTTCAGTGTGGGCTGGAGTTGTGGCTCAGTGGTAGAGCACTGGTCTAGCATGTGTGAGGCACTAGGTTGATTCTCAGCACCACATATAAATAAATAATATAAAGGTCCATCAACAACTACAATTTTTTTTTAAAAAAAAGAGCTTTTCAGGAATCTCAGCAGGAACTAATCCTTGGTAGATTTACCCTTCCTCCATCACTTGCAGCTTCAAATTATATATTTAAGTAAAATTACAATGAGAAAAAATTTTTTCTCTAATTCTTAAACATCTTTTATTAATGTTATAGGAACATTTTCTTTATGTAGGGATCAAAGGAAGTTACTATCTAAGAGAGATCCTACGCCAGCCTAAACTTTTTGAGGATTGCAATTTTTATGTTTGAGTCCTAAGTGCACAGGTGGTAGATCAGTTCAGAGCCTTTTGCATTCTCAAAGAAAGTCTTGTATATATCATCACTTCCAAAAGAGCCAACACCAGAGACTCCAGGTCTTTGTTAAATATTCATGCTTTCAGCCTAATGGGCCTCTCACTCAGTTTCTCCACACGTCTCTCCCTTATTCCAGGTGTCTTCTTCTACCTGAGCTCAGCTGTCAAGCCTGTCATCTATAGCCTGCTGTCTTGCCGCTTTCAGGAATCATTTCAGAAAGTGATCTCTCCTTCCTGCAAAAGATGGTACTCCCAGCATCACTCACGGAAGCCAGCAGGCCAGCAGAACATCTTGCTGACAGATCGCCACCTTTTGAAGCTGACTGAAGACACAGGTCCCCAGCTGCCTTGACAGTCATCCATCTGCAACTCTCAGCTCTGAACCGTCCCCATGAAAGGGACTCTCAGAGATGCCACCTCTACAAGGCACCTTTTATCTTTGAGGTGCATTCCTCCATGTCTCCGCAGTGCAGGGAGGGTCAGGCTATAATCTCTGCCTCCTCATGTGATGACAGGAAGATAAAATGGTGCTGAGAACTCATGAATCTGTACCTAGTACTTTGTTAATGTTTGTGAAACTCAGTCCTGGATCTGGGTCTAAACTGAAGAGCTTTCAGATATGTAGTCATCTTTGCATCATCCTAAGTGCCTCATGTCTCTTCTGGTTTCATGATGACATGACTGGCAAAGCATGGCTGGCCTTAGTGTGGACAATTTCCACTGTGAGGATTGGTTTGTCCCAAGTCACCTTCACCGAGTCAGGATGTTGCTTATAGCCAATGGCTGCTAGGGGCCCTGGAAGGAAGACACATAAGTGTTATTCCACTCTTCATGAGGTGAGAAGACCATATGCATGATCTATTTGACTCACATACCGCTATAATAATTTGACTCCTTAGAGTCATGAAACCTTTCAGATTAAGAGTTCCCTGGATGACATGGGAATGCCCTTAGAGCAGTTAGCCCTGGACCCCAGTCTCCAACTCATTATCAGTCCACTCATCACTGACAATGGGATCAGACACAAGTTCAATTTAGAAAAGAATGGGATAGGAAGAGAGAAAAGGTGTGGAGGTAGGTTGAAAATGATCTAAACTCCACCAAAGAAAATCTTAGTCGTGTTTATAATTTGGTCCAAACTTGGATTTCTAACATCTTGTTTCATATACAGACAGAGGTATGGTCTATTATCTTGGGACACAGACAAATTAAAAGTCATCTACTGGTCCCAAAATCATGACTTTAACACACTCAGTCCTTCATCACCTAAATAATGCTCTGCACTCATATAATAGAGGCAAAAATTGGCTTCCTGGACTCATCTTCCATTATTCTACCACAAGTAATGTATATTCCATTCAAAGTAGATTATTTTCTACTCTTATGAGGATGTGGCCTATAGATTTCCCAACCTGCTCATCTTTGCACATAGAATACTGTTAAGATTTAGATGTAGTATCCCCAGAAAGCTCCTGTGTGAGACAATGCAAGAAAGTTTGGAGGAGAAATGATTGGGTCATAGCCTTTAGCCTAACCAGTGAATTAATCCCTGATGGGATTAACCAAAGTGGTAGGGTGTGTCTGGCCAGAGGAGATGGGAATTGGGGCGTGGCTCTCCGGTATATATTTGTATCTGGTGAGTGGTGTCTCTCTGCTTCCTGATCACTGTGATGTTAGCTGCTTCCTTCCAACACACTCTCCTGATGTCCTGTCTCACCTCCAGCCTAGAAGAATGGAGCCCTCCATTGACCTCTGAAACTATGAGCTCTCAGATGAACTTTTCTTCCTCTACAATTGTGCTGGTGAATCTTGAAATCACAGCAGTGAGAAAGCTGACTAAAACAAACACCTTCCACTTAGAATACCTTCTTTATCTCCAATTTCCATCTGTTTCTCTCCTACCTGTCCCTCAGTGTTCACTTGAATATGGTACTTCCTTCCATGGACCTTGCTTGATTTTTTTCAAGTAAATATGTATCTGACTTCATTTGTTAAGCTTTGTCTCCACTTGATTTTGTATTTCAGTGATCTATAGTATTGCTTGGCAAGAATGTTAGTTTGTAAAAGGCATGAAGTATCTTGTGTTCATTATTTTTCTCTTACTGGAATCCTAGCATTGTATCACAATGGTAGGTGTTTAATAAATATGTCATCAAGCGAATTTGTTTCACATTTCAATGTATTGAGCAATAGGACAATTCCAGATGGAACCAATTAAGAGCCAGAAGATTAAGGTTGTGTTTTTCTTAGGGATACCTGGACTTCAACTGGTCATTTGGTCTGTGGTGTATGAATGGACTTACTGATGCTGAATCATGCTAGTTCTAACATTTAGTTTTTGAATGGCCTGTAAATTACATGAACAATCCCATTGATAAATGGGAGTATTGTATCTGATATCATTTACAATATAATAATCATATTCAAAGTGATTCAATATTTTTAAAAAATCCTCCTTGCCAATTACAATCCAACCTTTATGAATCAGAATTCTCCAGTGATGGTTTTATCATGGTGAACATAATAATGCTCAAGAATTGCAAACACTCAAAAACAAATCTCAGATATGAGGAAAAGTAAATTTTCCTTGTGCTTTTTACAGTGGAACCATTCTGAAAGAGAATCTACTAAGGTTAATATCTTTAATATCAACCTCTAATGACCAGGACTAAAAGTACTACTGCTGTCAGTGCATGAACAGAAAAAGAAACCACGGATTCTGAAGCTAATAATTTAGTATAAGAGTGAATCAGGTTATATAGAATAAACATGGGAGTGTTACCCCCAACCCACCTATTTCTTGAAACAATTTGAGAAGCATTGGCATTAATTCTTTAAGGATCCTGTAGAATTCAGCTGGGAATCCATCTGATGCCAGGTTTTCTTGGATGGTTTTTATGACTGTTACAGTCTTATTGCTTAATATCAGTCTCTTTAGGTTTTTTACCATTTTCTTGGTTACATTTGGGTAGGTCATATGTCTAGAAACCTATTAATTTCTTCTAGATTTTTGGATTTACTGGCATACAAGTTTATGAAGAGGTCCTCGATAATCCTCTGGATTTCAAAGCTGCATAATTAAGGACAAAAATCATATGACCATGGCATTAGATACAGAAAAAAAAGCCTTTGACAAAATTTGCACCAATTTGTGTTAAAAAGACTAAAAAACTAGAGCTAGAAGGAACTTCTCTAAACATCACAAAAGTTAAATAGGGACAAACCCAAAGGCAACATTATAGTATACGGGAAAGAAAAAAAAAAAAAAAAAACAAAGCATTTTCTTCAAAATTTGGAACCAGAAAAGGAGGTCCACTCTCACTACTTGTCTTCAATATAGTACTTGAAATTTTAGTCAGAGAAATTAGGCAAGAGAAATAAAATGGATTTAGTGATAAAGAAGTCAAGTACATGGCTATTTGTAGATGATATGATCCTGTACTTAGATAATCCTAATGGCTTCAGCAGAGGATTTCTAGAGCTGATTAAAATTAAAGCAAAGTAGTATACAAAATCAATACATAATTCAATAGCTTTTATATACACACCAATAATGTGTCTGCTGATAAAGACAGCAGAAAAAAATTCCATTCACAATAGCCTTAAAAAATAAATACCAATAAATCTAGCCAAGGAGGTGAAAGACTGCTGCAGGGAAAATTATAGAACACAAAAGAAAGAAATTGAAGGAGACACTAAATAATAAGAACATCTCCTATATTCCTGGGCAGGCAGAATTAATATTGGTAGAATGGCCAACTTAATAAAAGTGATTTATACATTCAGTGCAACTTCCATAATGTTATCAGTGGCATTTGTGGTAATGATAGAACTACAAAAACCAAAAAGTCCTAAAATTTATATAGAAATATAAAAGACCCAAAATATTCAAAGAAAAGCTGAGCAATAAGAAAAATGCTGGAGAGATCACAATTTCCAACTTCAAATTATACTACAGGGCTATAGGGACAAAAGTTGCATGGCACTGGCATAGACATGTAGAGCAATGGAATTAACTAGAAAACAGGCAAACCAACATAGTTTAAGTTACCAGATCCTTGAATAAGGCACCAAAAGCACATGTTAAAGAAAAAGAGAGCCTTTTAAACAAATGGTCCTGGGAAAACTGAAAATCAATATTGAAGAATAAAACTACATTCTCATCTCCCACCCTGCATACAAGTCAGAGTGGATCAAAGACCCAGGAACTAGAGCAGAAATTTTATAGCAGCTAGAAGTCTGCTCTATCATACAGGAACAGGCATCAACTTCCTCAATAAGACCTCTAAAGCTCAGGAAGGAAAACCAAGGATTAATAAATTGAATAGCATTCAAACTAAAACTTCTGCAAAGGAAATGATTAAGCTCACAAAGAAAGAGCCTTCGGAATGGGAAAAGTTGTTTGCCAGGTATTCTTCCAACAGAGGATGAATATTTAGACTATATAAAACATTCAGACAATCTAAGAAAAAAACTAACAAATAGCCCACTCAATAAATTGACAAATGAACTAAACAGACCTTTCTCAAAAGCAGAAACACAAATGACCCCAACAAAAAAAATGTGAAAAAAAATTATCACCATCTTTAGCCATCAGAAAATGCAAAACTATATTGCTATGTTATATGTATAACTATGATGCACTAATACAAAGATTTTGAAAAGCTACATTGAGATTCTCTCTCTGCTCAGAATAGCAATCATCAATAACACAATAATAAAAAATGCTAGCAAGGATATGGGGTTAAAGGAACACTAACACAATGTTGATTTAAAATGACCACAACCACTGTGAACATCCAAATGTAGGTTCCTCAAAAGACTTAAGATGGAACCACTATATGACCCAGCTGTACCACTCCAGGTGTTTATCCAAAAGATTTAAAGATACCATAACTATAATCACAAATGCACAGCTATGATTATGACACCACAATTCACAATTATCACGTTTTGGAACCAGCCCCAATCTCCATCAACAGATGAATGCATATAGAAAATGTGGTTTGTATACACAATAGAGTTTCAGTAGCCATAAGAAAATTATGTCATTTGAAGGAAAATGGATGGAATTTGAGAACATTATGCTAAGTGAGATTAGCCAGATTCAGAAAGTCAAGGGTCATATGTTTTCTCTCATTTAGCAGCTAGAGAGGAAAAAAAAAATAAAGGGACTTCATGTATGTACAAGAACATACAAGAATGACCAGTAGATGAGAGGATGGGGATGAAGGGAGGGAAATATAGTTATGGGGAAATAAAAGAGACCAAATAATGCATTGTACATGTATGAATATATCATAATTAATGCTATCATATGTAATTATAAGGTACCAATAAAAATTACAGATAGAAAAAAGAAAAAGGGTGCTTGCATATTAG